AAAAAAGAGCAAAGATTTTGTTTAATAATCTGTGAAAATTTCAAAACTTTGCAACCGTTGATACATTTTTAGAGGTTTAAATTTTAAAATCATTGACGTTAAATAGTCTAAAAAATGAATCACATTTCGGGAATTCACTAAAAAGAATCAGAAATTATGTCCCAAATTTCATTTAAAAGACTTCTTCCCGCTCTATCCGATGGTGCAAATATTAAATTACTAAGATTTTGGATTTGTTCGTTAAACGAAGTTATGTGCGAAAACTCGTTTCAATATTAAATTAAAGGAAATCTAAATAGAATTAAAAAAGTGCTTCACCGCATTGCATTTTCTACAAATAGTGTGTTTTCCGAATTTAAACTCGGTAGCTTGTCAGGAAGTATTTTAAAAATCGATGACAAACTTTTGACCAAAAAATCAAACATCATGAATGAACTAAATAAAAGCTTATAATAATTCTTTGGCTAAAGCTCTGTCTCTACATGCAAAAATTAGCGTCAGTTTCAAGTACCTTTGACGTAAGTATTCTTGCATGACTTTCTGTAAACGAAGCGAAACAAAGCCTTTTCACACTGAACAAAGCAGATATTTAAGTTAAAAGAAAGCATATTACCACAGAAGATTAACAAGACTGTGACTAATCGTAAAAGGAATGATAGCAAACCTTGAAATAAATTGCTTACGGTTTGTTTAGTATTACCCAGAAAAGTAGTTTTTAGACTCTTTTCATGGCTGACTTCCTCTTCATCGTATGACATCATTTACTGTTTGGTTCGTTAAGAGGATACCTGATCAAGGAAAACTGCTTTATGATAGATATTAAGGTACACCAGTTCTAGTTATTTTGCAAATTTTGAATCACTTTTCTTTCAGAGGTATCATTACATGTCCCATTAGTTTAAGAAATTCACGATTACGAATAGAAGCAATAATTTTCGAATTGATATATGCAACGCGTTTCCAGATGCCATACAAGATTTAGAAAAACGTACTTTTGAAATTGCCCCTTTTCCAAAATTTAATCTTGGATGCTTTTAAAACTGTGTTCCGTTATTTAAGAGAAAATGGGATAAAATATTTGTAATAGATAATATTATATGTTTGTAATGAGACGAATATTTTAGAATAAAATTCCATTCTTACTGACTCCTCTAATAGAAATTATCATTAAAATTACTGATTTGTAACTTCTGCGCCTAAACGCGGCATAAAAGTTTTCGTTCCCATATCTTGAGGGTATGCTTTAAAAAAAAAAAAAAAAAAAATACTATTAAATATTCTTTTCAGCCAATTTTATAATCTTCGCAAATGGTTTCTTAATTTATTGTTGACCTTCATGTCTGGAAGTATAGCCATATACGAATGATACCAGGAATCATGGATGTGTTTTATCTTTCGCCCAAGGCTTCTGCTACTAGTGGGGGACAGAACTTTGTACCCTACTGCACCCCTTGTTTTGATGACGAACATCTAAGAAAGCGATCTCTGAAAATTTCAAGATCCACAGCACAAGCGTATCGAAAATATTTTCGAATTTACAGATAAGTATAGTCTGTCTGTCATAAGAAAAGCTCTCACTAGTTAGTCTGCAGCTGTCTGTTGTCGTAGAAACGAGACTTGACCCATTGTCCGTAGGGTGTCTCGAAAGACGAATCATAAACTGTTTTCCTCTCAGCCAACATTCGCTAAAAACAAAATAACAGTAAAGTCACCCTTGGTTCGCTCCTATTTAAAATACCTATTTGTAATATACCGCCACCCGCCAGACACTGTGGCGAGATCTGTTCTTCTCGTAGAGAGACCAAAGAACGTCTATGTAAAGAAGGAAAGGCTCCATAGACGTAATGTAAATCAGTTTGTCTTCTCCGCCTCTAGAAAGAAGAGGGAAAATTCGCCAAGGGATTTGTCGACAGGACCTGTTCGCAAGAATCCCCCCCCCCTCTGTGATGCACCGGACCTGGCCGAGATTTTCCACTTCCGCCACGTGTACGGAAAATTGAGAAAGGCGGGTTAAGATGAATAAGAAAATTAGGTGAAGTTTCACTTTCACCGGCTGTTGAACTTGCATTATCCATATCGCAGTTAGATGTCTGATTTTATATCCGTCAATATGGAGGGCAAAAAATGAAGGCACACAGCTTTAAACTCTTGATAAACGTGGCCATCAAACCTGTTAGAACTTCGACATCAGCTTCGAGCTTTGGCGCTTTTTGGCGACAGATGTTTCATGCATGCGCAGCTGTTTCCCTTTTCGTTCGAAGTGAGCCACACCTGCTGCTGAGAAGTTTTCCTTCTTAACAATACATATTCTTTGGACAGACAGTAGCCTATTCCACAAAGACATTAGACTTCCGAAAACGTCCAAGCTTTGTTCAAGATTCAAAAGCAGTCTAGTCAGGACTTAGTTTATCCCTGAGCCTAGTGCTGGCACAGCTGGCTCTGCTAGCTATTCATAAAAATTGAGGTAAGATTACTTATTTAATTATAGCAAAGCAAACGTGTGCTACTTACCTATGGAAGGAATGCCATCGTAAAGAACTGGCTAATGTATTTACGTTACACAACGAGGACATCCATGAACACATTACGTAGTTATCCTTGTTCAGACGCTGGCAGAAAAAATCTAGGGTTGACTACCAGCGTTTTGTGGCTTTAGTTACTCTGCTACTATTGAAATCGTTCTTGATGTATATATGTGTATGTAATACTTCAAAAATGCTTGCTCGGTTGCAATTAGAAAATGATGCTAAGTTTTTTTCATATATGTTCTATAAGTCTGGCGACGAAGGGGATGAATGAAGTTGACTGGGTACTTTCTATTGAGGAGCCATTCCCTAACAATCTTATTAGTATGTTTTGAGTTTTGAAACACACAGCTGTTCCCTAGTTTCAGTTTTCCAATAAATGATTGCAGATTACTTGTAATAGTTTCGGATACACGAAGTAATCCCTAGTGGAATCTATGAGAACTAATCTACCTACTCCTGCCGCTGCCGTTGATTTCCAAACTATTATACACCCAGTCTGCTTCCTCTATGGTTTCCGTAAGGCGACTTAATTGTCATAAGACATATCAAAAGTATTCATAAACTTTCAACTATTTTAGTAAAATATTCCGGTCGATATCTTTGTTTCAAAACCGCTTAGTCTGCTTGAGGTTTTAAAACGATAAGTTAAAAATTATTATTGATATTATTGAAATTATAATTGATTTTATTTACTTTTGTAGTACTATTTGAAGTTGCATTCGCTCATAATGGTTATGTTGTTGTTGTGACTTATCTCACTTGCTTGATAATAAGGTCAGAACAAGCCCACGAAATTCATCGTGGTAAAGAGAGCAAAATTGCGCATGTCGTTGGCAAGAACCTTAAAATACAAGTGACAGTACGACTTCGCTCATTTCCACCCCCAATTTTGATGGAGCTTATTCTGGCGGGGGGCGTCCGAGGGTTTCCCACCCTCTTTCCCTTCCACTAAACTCTCGCTTGCCATATATTTAGAGTGCCTCCATGCCGTAAAGACACATTTTCAAATATGCATGCCTTCTCTTGGCCATTCTTGACCCGGACCATTCGGTACCTCAGCAAGCTCCCCTAACACTATACCGTTTGGGCGGCTCGTAATTGTTATTGCCTAGTAAATCTATAGAATGTTCTTGGTAATTTAAAACTCCTATTCCATTTTGCCTAACGGAAAGAAAATAAAAATATGCAGTCGCAATGGAATCGAGATTGTTCATAACTGGTATTTATAATTTTACTGTGAAAGTCGGTCATCCAGTCTCTGTTGACCAAAGCAAATCTTCGCGCACCCGTGTTTTTTTTTTTTTTTTTTTTCCCCAAGTGTGTGGTGCTCAATGAAAGAGGCAAAAATAATTGTTTTTTCAGGTCTCCTGCGCAATTTTTTTGCAAAATCTTCTTAAAGTTTAGTTGATATGAAAGGTATATTTTAATGCTCATCAAGTACCTCGTTTAACAGATTACGTTTCGTCTTCCGAGAACTCATTTTAATCATCCCTATTAAAATGTGTACTGTTCTTGAAATGTGTTTGTGAACAGTCTTAGGAGAATTTTTATGTTTTTCTGAGTATAAAAATGAATTTTTATCATGATTATATGTGTCGTGAGAAAATGATTTAGAGGGTGTTAATTTGGCTTTATTTCAACCGTAACAAGCTTTGGGTGACTTGAGATTTTCTTTAAAAAGGCAAGCTGACATGGTAGGAAGTCATGCACCCGCCTTTGCGTGGAATGGATTCGGATGCTTTCCTAATGTAAGTAAATCATAATTATACTAGGCACAAGTTTTGGTCATCATAAACTGTTATATATCAGAACCATCAGGAATTACGTTGTAGCCAGTCACAGAAGAATAACCTTAATAATGCATATTTTCTGCATAAAAATGTATTATAACAGCTTATAAATATTAAATTACTATTGTTTATTCTTACCAGCTGTTTCCAGTGAACGGCATTTGGTATCAGAGTGAAATGTTTTAAAGTTGAATATTTTGTATAATAAAACATTACTAAGAACTATTTCTACTTTCCCCCAATCACGTAAGACCAACTTGTCCTTCTATGAGAACAATACGCCTTCTCGAATATGACGTCATATGGCTAATGGATTCGCCTCAGTTTATGCCTGTTCTAGCATAAAGAACATGAAGTTTAATAATTTTTTACTCTTATGCCATGAACCGTATGTTTCGAAGCAGTGGCTAACGTGTGTTTTTAACTAAACTGGGATATTTAAACCGTACTGTAAATGTCTCAGTAAGTGCAAAATGAATATTGTTAGATCGTCTTCCATAAATGCCACATAACGGAAGTATGTTTCATGCTTCCGCGCCTAAATAAGTATTAAGATTTCACCATTGAAGTATGCATAACTTTTTCTTTAGCTATTGTCATTTTACTTTCCTTTTCCTACTTTATCAGTAACTGCTTGTTCTGTATGAAGGATTTTTAATATATTTTTATTTTGTGTATATAGGAGCTAGTGCTTATGATACTGTCAGGCCTTTGAGCTATCAAGATGCCCGTGCCTTTCTTCTATGTTTCGATGTTACTTCTCAGGTATCCTTACACAACGCCTTGAAAAAGGTAATTATAAGTTTTCTGAATTTTAACACACCTAATATCCCTATAAAATCTGTCCGTAAAGTAAAATATGCTTACTTGCTTGTAACCGAAATGCAAGCTTTATTATTTTCAAAAATAAAGGTACGAATAATATGCTTTCTGAAGAAATAATTCATTATAAATCGCATATTTTATGAACGCAATTTTTTTACTTGTAATCAGACTAAACACTTTAAATCTTTCGAAAAAGTAACCCTAATGGATATGTAATTGAATTTAGATCGCATGCAGCTCTTTCCATCCCATTTCGGATAAATGTTTACTCGTTTTTATCTCCTTTTAAAAATTCATCATTAAACTGCAAAAGGCAGTCTTAGTTTTTATGTTGTTTAATAGGCAGTAAATAATGAATTTTATGTATTTATTTTTCAAGGCAGTATGTGAAGAGAAAACTTCATATGTTGCGAAATAAAAAATCATTATTTAGCAACATAGATTATAATAATGATTTGTGTTTCTAATATTCACATAGAATAAAAAAGAACGTAAGATACATATAAGCTATTATTAGTTAACTTTATTTCGTTTAGAATTATTTTATTTGCATGCCTTTTGCTTAATTTATGATATAAGTAACAGCTCTAAAGCATCTTTCAAAGAAACTGTTTCTACAGTCAAGAACTAAATATCTTAAGATAATTTCTTTGTATTTGTAGCAAATTATGTACAACTAATTACTCAGTGTTTCAGGTTTTACTAATGTAAATAATCTGCTATTAAAGCATAGTAAAAGATGTATCATTATTTTAGAGAAGTATTTTAATTGTTTCTGTCATGTAAAAAATTTGTCCTAATGATGGGAAACACTAGTAATTTCCCCATATCTCCTATTTACTGTCACTAAGGGGGATAATTATATGAAATTTGTATGATTTCTTATACTGGTTAAAACAATTGAGCAATACATGCCGTCACTAAATTTCTATATCTATAAGAAATAAAAAAAATCCTAACTAAGTCTTTATATTGAGAAGCCTCTAAATATGTCTTGCAAGAAGATTAAATTAGTTAGGTTATTTATTACAGCAAAGCAGTAGCGAGCTATCTTCCTTAGAAAAGATATTTTTATATAAGATAAGTGTTTCTTGAAGAAGAGTATACTTCTTTGATAAGGAGCTCGCTCATATTCACGTCATAACAAACTCTCGGGCAAGTTCTCCTATGTTTACTTGAAATTATTATACTCAGACAAATGTTTTTCAAGTTTTCTTCGGTACCAAGCTGTCCTTGGCAGCCTAAAAGGCCATGTCTTCCGTATCCATCCGTATCATCCGATAAGTCTGCTTCATAGATCTTTAGTTAATATCTGGATATCTTAATAATTCGATCTGGATATCTTTTCTATGATGACGGCATTTGAAACGCATGTTATACCATGAAAGATAAAGAGTATGGATCATTTAGCTCAGCCTGTGGTATGCCTCCTCTAATTAACAGTATTGCCAAGAGTACGCGGCAGAACATTTAAGGATAAAGGAAATTGAAAACGGCGAAGAAAAGGTACACTGCGAAAAAAAAAAGAGGAGGACAGTTCTATATCTCCCGTTCTGTTGGGCCGATTGACGAAATTCAAACTGTGTTTTTCATGTCTCGAAAGCGCGACTTAGGATATAAATTAGATTTATATACAGTATAGTTCTAGTATAGCTATTTTGACACAAAATTGGACTTTTTTCTGAAATGACATGCCAATTTTTTTTCCATATTTCGATTCAACAACTCAAATTATGCCAAAGTGCCAAGTTTTGTAAAAATCGCACGAGTAGTTTTTAAAAAATTAGATCTCAAAATTTTAGCTCCTCAATGTTAATTGAATTTGCTATATATTTATTAATATCTCCTTTTTTATTAAACTTATTTGATTCTTGCTTTCGTACTTCGAGATTTAGGTTCATTCCAAATTTGCCCATTTTGTATGATTTATTTTTAAAATGTGTATTTTTAAATTATTTTTATCAATTTTTCGAAAAACATTTTGAATTATAACTTATACAAGTTTTGCCATCATCTTAAAGTAGATGTATTTCTAAGCATATCTGCAAAAAATTAGAATTTTTTTATTCAAAATTTCCTACGATATACGTGAATTTACATTTTGAAATTTGGCGTATTTATTATAAGCGATAATAACGAAAATGTGGTTTACGCATTTTGTTAAAATTATTTGAAAATATGACGGATGACATTTTTACCGCTCGTGGATAGTTAAAAAAAAAAAAAAAAAAAAAAAAAAGATATAAATAAAGAAGTTCGCCATTCTTGGCTCAAACTAAAAAAAATTCGCCAGGATGAATTTTTTAATTTTTCCGTAAATTTCTCACCAAAAATTATAAAATTTAATATTTAGACTTAATTTGAGTCGTAGAATCGAAATATGGAAAACAAATGGTGTGTTATTTCAGAAAAAGTCCGATTTTGTGTCCAAATACCTATGTTAGAACAAAGCTATATAAAAATCTAATATATATCCTAAGTTGCGCTTTCGAGACATGAAAAATGCAATTTGAATATCGTCAAATTGGCAATCGGCCCAGTAGAACAGGAAAATATAGAACTGCCCCCCTTTTTTTCGCAGTGTTTATTCAGTAATTTGGTAAGTTAATGATGGACGTCAAAAGATGTTAAATTATTTGAGTATTGTGAATAGTTGTCAGAATGGAGTTTGCTTCGTCACGTAGTATCCAGCAAATAAGTTTCTATTGCTTTCCCTATCAAATATGTTGCAACCATTACTGAATTATTAATGGCATGTTAGAAGTTACAATATATATATATATATATATATATATATATTAATGATACCCAGTTAGAGTCGTGCAAGTACAGAAAGAACAATTTATCGGAACGTGATATCAAAAGCTACTCAGTGCAGAAAGTTAGCGGGAAGCAGAGAGCGCAAGAGAATCCCCTACGGTTCCAGATGATTTTGAGCTTCTGTGAATGTAAATCCTCTTAAAGGGTCTCATATTCTATACTGGTTTTGTTTATATTCGTTGAAATACAGGCCACTTTCAAAGATGATCATCTTAGGAAAGTGATGCCAATAGGTATATTCACTGTACGTTGCAATTAAATTTACAATTTGCTAAATAGCATAAATTTCGTTTGTGTATGGAGATTTTTTTAAACGCCCGTATTTTTATAAATTTAATATCAATACGAAGCGATTCATTTAGTACAGCGGAGCATAAAACACGGAAAGGATAAATGATTTTCTGTATGATTGAAAATTTTCACGGCATTGTTTTCTCAAGCGGAACTAGAGTTCAAGGTCATCTATTTCTGTATTTCCTTTATTCCGGCTTTTCTTTTCTTCTTCTTCTTTTTTTTTTTTTTTTTTTTTTTTTTTTTTCAATACACTGCTTTGAGAATTTGTGACTTCGTTTAATACACTTTCGTTAATAATGAACAAAAGCGTGCAAGTCCTTATATATGCAGTTAAAAGAAACCTCATTTTTACTAGTCAGTAGATATTACTGCAGTTAATTTAGGAATAAATAATCGCTTAAAATTTTTGTCATTAAGAAAATGCTATTTTAACCTTCACCTAGTAGGAGCATGTCCCATGGACCTCAGCAATCATATTTTACGTAATAATAGTAACCGAGAATTACCCTATATATCTATTTGTGCATCCATAGTACCCAACCAAGTTTGGATAGTTAAACTGATGTTACATTTCTTTTTGTCTATGGGATTTCATTGTTACGATCTTTCAAACCGTCTTTCATACGCATTTGTTTGTTTTTATTTATACGTGTACCAACACTTGAAAGAAATAAGTTTGTACAAAAGGTCGTAATAATTCGGTATTGTATTTATAACAGTTATAAGGTATTTTTCCCGTCTTCTTAGAGTGCCTTCGTGGTGTGGTGGTTTGCACCCTGGGCGCGTATTCCAGAGGTCCGCGGTTCGATTCCTGGCGAAGGCGTTGCTAATTTTTCATCTTGCCTGCTTCCAAAAATACCTAACGTCTCTACAGAGTTACTTCTAAATTCCTGTTGTGAATTATATTTGTCGCAGCCTGAGTATATTACCATAGGTGCAAACTGAAGATGTCATGTTAAACTTCAGTCTTATTCAATAAAATTCCGTAAAGTATGCAACAAAATTGTAATCTCTTTACAGGTATAAAACAAATATATTGTCATGCGATATCAACAAGCCTCTTTTTAATTGTTCTTTGTATCGCTGAGTATTTCTGAAGAAGTGAAATCGATTTTTTTTCAAAAGCTGCGGTACGCAGAATTTGTTTCAACTTGAAAAGCAATCGAGGTGAGTTGTCACATTGAAGTTAACTGCCCGAAGGTATTCTAGAATATTAATATTTGAGAATATCGCTAACCACATTTAGCTATTTCTTTCTTCGTGTTTTTATCACACTGGCCTATATCTTTTCTTCTCAGTCGCTTTTCTTATCTCTTAAGTGCTAAGGAGTGGACCATAAAATCAAAAATCTGGGCCAGCAGCACATCCAAAGTTTAATAGTATATCCATATTATTACATGAAGTCTGAAGATATACGCTGTAAAATTTTTGAGTTGTTATGGTTCTTTTGGGGAAAACATGAGAACTGATAACGCCTTTAATTATGAAATGCCGTTCGAGTATGTCACATTTAATCATTGCACTGAGTATGTAAATGCCCCCTTCTCTAAACTTCCATAGGGATCTGATCGCCATCCTTAAATTTTTTGAAGTTAAGCAAGGGGGCATTAAATCTGACGTTAATTTAATTTTCTTAATGAAGTTTTAATTGGAAAGCTATACATATGTACATCGTAAAAGTCTAGCTAATTTAAAATTACTTCGAAGGCTGGATCTTAACTTGAACTGTAAAGGGACTGTTTACCAAGTCTAACTGTGTCAGTAATAAAACGTAAGAAAGGTAAAACGATCATTTTATTCAACCCAAGAACAATATGAACAGATAAATGAACTCTGGAGCGTACAGGAACTTGTTAATATATTTTTAGCGGCAACTCAAAGTAAAAAACGTGGAATTAAAACTAATCATAAGTTGAATAAATCAGTCGAAGCTGGATAGAGATAATTTAAGGCGTAGTTGTACCTTGGTTAATACCGACATAGACTAACCGGCGATAATATTGTACGGCCTTAAAATAGCAAGATTAACTAGCAGAGAAATAACGTCGCCGAAAGACAAAACACGCTCTCAATACGCTCTGTCTGAAGTAACTCAGACACCGGCTTAAATAGAAGCTTTCTACCCTATTTTGCAAATTGTGCGAAACTAAAATATCGTTCTGGTAACAAAAGCGTGGGTTGAAAACGAGAGTTTATAGGAAAGAGTGGCTACCAAAATAAAATGAACTATTAAAAAAAATTAAATAAAAGCCACAATATATATTGTTAGGAAATGTAAAGGCGCGGTAAGATGGCTTCCTCGCAAAGCAGTTTCGGGGTTACCATAAAATAGCAGGGAAGGCAGGGTTGCCACATTTGGCCACAACATTGGCGATATGCCATGGACGGATGGCGAACCTTCTGGAACGAATTCTTACCGGTTTAGCCCAGAATGTTCTCGAAAACCAGTCAAAAGCTATATAAGTCCAGCTGGTACTCGGAGAGTGAGTTAGTATCGAGTTGGTGTCGCGTCTAGCGAGTCAATCCGTGCGGGGTCGATCGTGTTGACAGCCGGGCAGCGAGTGCCGAGTTCGTCGTCGAGTGCACCGAAAGAGTCTGTTAGTGTAACGCGGTTAGTGCATCGTCGAGAGAGCGTGTTGAGCTCCGGAGGTTACAACTGGTGAACCGAAGAGCCGGGAGCCGTGCTCTGTGTGTCGTCGAATGCATCGCGAGTTGTAGCGTGGAGAGTCTCGAGAGTACGTGGAATTCCGAGAACGACCGAGCAGAGTCGGGAGCTGTACTCTGGTGCTTGCAGTGAAGCTGTCTCCACCGTGATAACCTGAAAGCTGTGCTGATTGTGTCAGCGCGTTTATAGTAGATCTTCGACGACTGTAAAATATGACCTTGGAGCTGTCCTGATTAATATTGGCTAAATAAAGTGCGTTTGGATATTTAATCAAGTAGTGTCGTTAATCACTCCAAATCCACAAAAAAAGTAACAATATATATATATATATATATATATATATATAAAACTTTTTGGAACTTTACATTATGCTGTCATGCACTTAGTTATTATCCTCTTGTTTTATCAGCTGTTGCCATTGAGCAGGCATTGCATTACTTCACGTTGTGATTGTCCTCCCATAAGCTGCCGGAGGCCAACTGCCTTAGCAGTCACCAATGTCCTGCGGTTTAATTTAAGAATCTAATCTACTGCATAACGTTTAGATTGGCTGTAAGTGACCATAAAACGAACGGTTTATCTGTGAACAGCACCAGTGTGTTTCGGTTTAATTTTTCTTTAAAAATTCATTTTATCATTTTTCATTTTGTCTATATTTACTGCACTGTTGGACTAGGAATAACTTGTGGATTGTTCGTTAACTGCCATGAACCTTTATGTCACCATCAGGGCCGTTCCTAGCGGGGGTGCAGCGCATAAAAGTTCGTGGGCGGCGAAAATCAGGGGCAGCTGGACTTTCGCGATACCACGTCTAAATATTTTAAATTTAATATAAGTACTTATCATATGTAAGTACTTTTTATACAGTTTGTCCATATGTAAGTACTTAGTGAATATGAAATAAAAATTTTGTTAATCATTGAGCATTTTTCTAAATTTGGGGGGAGGCAATCTTAGGAAAGTACGTGGACAGCTAATGGCCTACGAGCGGTTCTGATCACCGTTACCAAAAGTCATGATGAGTAATTATATTCTTCAGTTTAATTTAATTAAAGAAAAAGAAATCTAAATTTATTGCTGCGACTCTTCCAGGGATCTGAGGGTTGGCTATTAGCAACAGTCACTCATAGGTTGTTGGACACCAGTGACCTACAGACTCATTGTCATTAACGATCAATCGAAATAACAGGTTAACATATAAGATAAAAGAAATTAGGAAAATAAACCAAAGGGATGCCAGTGGCTCTCTAAGCTGCTGATCATCGGTAAACCTTGTGGAGTTATCACCATTGTGCAGCTGTGCCGGAAATTTAGATTCATTACTAAAAATAAATTAAATTGCAGTTCATTGATGAACGTCAAGCAGTGGCAGGTCAGTTAACGGTCACAAGGGCTCTTTCAGGCAGTTGTTGCCAATGGCCTGCGGGTAAACATGGGGCAGGTCAAAATTTGTTGCAGTAACAGTAACTGCTTAAGCAATTGGATAATTAGTTCATGGTAACATACTGTAGTATAACATAATGCACTAAAATTTTTACAAAGGCACCAATGAAGGCATTTCGAATGTCAGACTACAGTACTAAGATCGTCATTTGTTTATCTGTTTTAAATACCTTTGCATTTCTGCAAAATTCACCTTCTTTATTTATTTTTATTTTGGCAACACAGAAAAGTCATCATACAGACTCGTAATTATGTTCAAACGTTGTTACTAATGTTAAAATATAAGTTAAATGTTATTGCTTTAAATAGAAAATAGGAGGCTCTTTCACCAAGAGCATCATTATCCTGAAAAATCATTACTAAAAGCAGAATGAAGATCATTTCTGCTTTGGGCAGTTTCTCTATTAGAAGCCACATAGATGTGGCCAGGCAAAGGCTGCAGCTTAAATTGTTAAACATTTCAAGTTTTGTTCAGATTAGTTAGCCAGTTCGTAAGAGGCCAACTTTGGGTTTCGATCGTGATGTGCATTGAGATGCATTGGATACATTGCTTTTATTAATAAGAGTTGACTTGCGCATTGTAAGGATATGTGCAGTGGCAGGTCACTTTTGCTGGGTATGATTAGAAGTTCTTGTGTAATGTTTCCTGGAGAAAATGGAGAATATTTGTACACAATTACCTGATAATCGTAACAGTAAATGTTTGCAAAAACTCATATAATCTTTTAAAATCCATTTATTTTAATTGCCAATGCATGAAATGTTTTGCGATTTCTAAATCTTTTAGATTTAGAAAGATCGCACCAGGTGGCATACATCATCGGAGAAAACCTATAGCGTCGCTATTGGCTTTTTTCCGCCTGGTGTCATCTATGTGGCTTCTAAATTCTACCGCTTGCTGCCTGTCTAGATTTAAAAAATGTTGCTCCCTGAAGCAGCTGCACCGGCTGTGACGTTGGGCCTGCTTCTCTTAGTTATCTTTAGTCTCAACGTTCTCTCCATGGCTTTCCAAATATTCTGTTTTGTATCTACTGCATCTCCCTGTTAAGGCAAAAAAATTTACAGTGGTGTTGATGTACCTTGTCAAGCTGCTTTTTTGCATATAATAAAAATGGAAGATGGCTATTTCGAGTTGCATTTTTTATTTAAGATGCCATAGGTAAATTTCAAGGTCTGGAGTACGTACCTTCTAAATTTATAAAGCTTCTCAGAAATACTTCAAATCCGAACGAACAACTTCCATTTATTTACCACTCCGATGAACTTTAGCAAGCATGTAATATTTATTTTTTGTTGAATGCCACTCACCTACAGATTGACCACAGATAAAAAATTAAATTCAGTGTAATAATGTTTTTATAATACACCTTCGTATTATTACAAAATTCAAGTTACCGAGATGTAAAATCATTAAGCTGCTCTCATATATAATAAAGTTATGTTAAATGCTGAAGTGGTAATGGAAGTAAATTAGTTAATCTAATGTTAAATTTAATGTTATGCTTCCCTCTCTTATGTAATACGCAATAGTCTATAGAAATATCATTTAGTCATTAGGATATAATTGTCATGTTCTTTATTTTAAGTATGATTTAGAAAAACGTATAAATTAGTTTCAGCCCGGAATGGCATTTTGCTTCAAATCATTGTAAATGGGTGTATCGCTTTTCAAATATTTGCCACCAAATATTATCGCCCGGTATTGTATTTGAAGAAATTAAATAATGAGGAATCTGCATGAATGTATTAATGTTTCTCGCACTGTTGTAAAACAACGATACCTAGAGCCATCAAATTTTTGAATAACTTAAAAATTTAATGAAAATTTGATTAAAAAACTCGATGATCTTAAAGCGAGCAATGTACATTTTTATCTCCAGCTTGCGAGACTGTCTGTCGGAAATTCTGAAGATACTCGTATGATATTTATAAATATTTTTAGCCCAAATGCTCTCGAAACGTGTATGTATGTGTAAATGAAAAAAAGTGTCCCTTTGGGCGTAATATCTGAAAGCTTTCAGATTTCTTTTTAATACTGCTTTCACTGAACATAAAAATTTAGTTATTGTTGTGAAGATCAGAGTGGAAAATTTGAACAATTCATAAAACTGAAATCGTGTTTCTTTGTTCCTTAAATGTTGAATTATTTTGCCAAGCATTGTAAAACAAATTTGTTAGGAGAGATCTTAGAGACTGCATTCTTATTTCCGATTTTGGTCGGAGTTTTATATAATTTTCAAAAATGTTTATGAGCAACTGTATATAATGTTTGCCTTTTAAATCTTTATTTAGTGGTATCCAGAAATTCGCACGCACAGTGAAGCCCCTATCGTGCTATGTGGTTGCCGCAGTGATTTGCGTGTCGAAGTCAGGCATTCTGTCACAGCAGAACAAGTAAGTGCTTTTTGTCCGTAGTACATTTTATTAGCGTTTTTACAATAATTAATATCTCAAACTTCCTTTGATGTCCCCAGTTTTCTACTGGAGATAATTTGAAGTAAATACAAGATTATTTACGTGAGATGTCAGAGTTATAAAACGTATTACAAAGCCAAAAATGTGAATGGAGAGGGAATTTCGAATAATCGAAAAAACACGAGCTAAGAAGGCTTACGCAAATTATGCCCTCAAAACAGCTACCATTCTACGTAGATAAGCTTTGAAATGCATTTGACAAAGCTAGATAGGATATTATTATACACATTAAAGATAAAAATTATTTGAATAAAAAGGGTTGTAATATAATTAAAATCAAGAATATCGTTATTGTAATTTTTGGCGATTTTTCTAGCAAGTAAAATTGACAAATTCTAGGTAAAGTGAGTGGCATGAAATTATAGTTTAATAAAAAAAAAAAAAAGATTGCATTTATCGAGGAAGATAAGGCCAGGTAATAGTTTAATGTCAGTAGGAAAAGTTCTGGATATTCAAAGAAATTCGCGTCATTGATACAGCATTAATTTTCAGTTGCCTATGGATCTACTTATTGAAAATCTCGAGTTTTCAAAGTTCTACTGGGCTTAAAAGGGAGGGGGAGAGAAAGAAAAGAAAAGGAAAAAAGAAAAATTAAAAAGAAATCAGGATGATTCCATGGTTTAGCATTGCTCGAAATTTAATTCTTTCCCTGAAAAATTTTGGTATTTGTGGTAGTTACGACATGATGAACGTCAAAAGCGCTGCAACAGTTTTCCAAATCTGTCAAATTTTGGAGTTTCAGATGGAATGGGTGTTAAATACGTCCTTTCACTCGTAAATGCTGTAGAACGCGAATCTATTTATCATACACAACGTTCTTTATTCTTGTAAAATAAGTCGTATCATAGCAGTTTCTAAAATTATTCCGCAGAGCTAGTTAAGTTCCCCTTAGCTTAGCAGAACTCCAGTGGTTTACGCCTTTCGATCAAGATGTCGGCATACAATAGAATCGTGAAAAAAATCGGTTCACGAACAAATTTTCCGAATGAAAAATGTCTGGAATGACGAACAATATCTCGAGATACGGGTGAGAAAGTTGGCAACAAATGATACTGCAAAATGTAGTTACTGCTGTGGAGGAAATGTCTTCAGAAGAAGACGGAAGACGAGTTGTTTCTATTCATCTGATCCGCGCAATTTGTGAAAAATGGATTAAGGTGCAAAGGCTCGTAGAACATTCTCATTTTGCCAAAGTAGCATAAATATTTATAATGTCAATGCTTTAAGGTCTTGCTTTAGAAACATTTTAAAACGCAGACAGAAACAACTACCTTGAACAAATTTCAATGAGAAAAGGGCCCAGTGATTCTTAAAGTAGGGTTTAAGGGGGGGCAGAAAAACAGTAGTTGTCTGTTATTTTTGGATACAGGAATGATCACATATTTCATATTTGGGGTTCTTCACTGTTTTTCACTTATGTCGTCAACTCTGCTTCAAAGCGATACGGTAAAATTTAATTCAAGTTTTCCTATTTTTTGTGTGTTTAGTTTTGTGTTAAATATTGTGTATTAATATAAGAAGGCTCCGACATAGTTTTTTAATGTAACTGAGCAACAATTTCCGCAGAAATCTGATCTCGAAAATTTTATTTTTAATGATAAAATTATATTAAAAATCGATTCTAACTTTTGAATACATGCTTCTCTTTCCTTGGGAAACAAATCCTTGGATGGAGGTCGAGATTTTTAAGGAAAAAGAAGCTCCTACCCGTATGTCAAAGGGTTTTTTTTTTTTTTTTCTTTCAGAAAATACAGTGACTTTATGATAGCGGGTAAATTTTTCTTTCTAAAGCTGATATCTTACAGCGGAAAAGAGCACCTGGAGACTTTATGAAATGATGTAACCAAAGAGGGGGGGGATTAAAATTGTCACTTGTTACTTTTTTCAGCTAGTCCTCGGATTCGGTGAAAGTTTGTTCCCCTGCCATATTCTGCTTGACAACTAGAATTATATTGAGAGGAGATAGTGGTCAGAAAACACTTCTCTTTTTGTTTTCATACCTACCTACAGATCAACATTTTCTCCATATTGTCTTACTGTTTATAGCATTCTCTATATTTTCACTAGTGACGCTTTAACCATTTTAACGTTTTTTTATTGGTGTGCTGGAAAAAGAATAATCTTCATTTCTATCATCCCTTGAACTAGCACATTATATTTGAGCTATTTTTTATGTGAAATATAATTCCAACAGAAACCCAAAATAAATCATTGTCCAATACTTTATTTTAATACTTAATTATTTACCATTTATTTAATGATTTATATTTTTATTTAATTTTAATATTAATTGTTTAATTATTCTAATTATTAATTATATTATTAGCCATTTTATTTATTTATCTATTTTTGCTCTTCTTTCCTGACAGTCTTCCATAGGGCTCCAGCACTTCTAATTTTAAAAATTAAGCATTGGAGTATGTGCTAGATTTAATTAATTCTATCAGTTATACATTATGAACTTAACATTCAGAATATTCTTTTCTAAATAATCATTGGGGATTCAAGAATGGACAGTCTGTTTTGCATTCATTCCTATGGGGAAAATTGTTTCAGTTTACGAATACTTCAAATGACTAATTTTCTTTAGGAACGAAGATTGAAGTTCATGAATCATAGTTTCAATCCATTTCTTATAGACAAAATTTACCCCATATTAACCAAACTTAACATTATTTCAGTATATTTTTACGAGCCATTTCGTTGAGTTTTACAGTTTTAGAGCAAATGCGTTTTTATAATCCGAATATTATTTCTCGTTCTCTATGTGGAAAAGAAAAAAGGCTAACTTGTTGTTGCTAAGACTTTTGTTTTAGTAGGAATTAAAATTGCAATTTTTTTTTATATCAATGCTTACACTGATAAAATGTTATAACAGTCTGATTAATTTGCATCTAGCGATTCATAAAATTATTTGTGTTACTTCTTTTTCATAAAATAAGATTTATAATTAGTATATTTAAGGATATCTTAAACTATCTATTTATTTTTGGTTTTATAATTGTGGCCTTGGTTTACCGAGGTTAAAATTTATTTGGATAATGTAATAATCTGCTCTTGAAATGTTTTGGAGTGTGGAAGCAGATATTAAAATATACAGAAAATTATATCCCTCACATTCCCTCCATATCATCGTAATTTATAGCTCAAATTGTCGATCTAAAGTAGTGTATCCAGGGCTTCAGCTAGGATTGAGTCCTAGCACGTCTCCGTTTTTGAGTGAAATTATTATGCAAACCGAAACCCCAAATAAGGTGAACTGCGGTATTTTAACTTATTATTTAACTGCTTGTCATAAATTTATTAATTTTACCTCTTTTTACTCTATTGAATTATTTATTTTTTATCACGTTATTCGATAGAGCTCGGCGCTTCTAATTTTAGGAATTAAGCTTTAGTGCTCCTCGTACTGTTTAACCTCGACCCACATGCATATAATTGCGATTTATCGCAACATATATGTTATAAGTTCCTCTAACAAAACGTAATGTTTCTCTAAAAAAAAGGGGAATAAAAAGAGATTGCTAAAAGAAAATAAGGTAGTACTAATAAATGCGCAACTAACTAATAATTAATTAATTAACTCTAAATCAATTCGCAATTTCAAGCTAGATATATGTAATTATACGATGAAGAATAGGGTATTTCAGAGCTTTTCGCAACCCATCAGAATTATTTTCCGATCTGTTGAGGGGTCTATTGCCAGATCGAGGATCTCTTTTAATGTATTTTCTCTTGATAAAACTATGATTATGCAATATATTTTTCGTTTCTGTCTTGTGAGCTGTAGCGGGTTTGCATAGATCGCTTTGTGATTTTCTGTCTAGTATCAGTCTGGAAACTTCACAAAAAATACATTTTTTCAGTACTTTATTAGAAATAATTTTAACATCAGGGGAAAAGTATTATTATTTGCAATGATTTTCATTACTTCAGAATTCATTGCTCAAATCTCCAAAACAATTTTTCCTCCTTCCCCGAGGGTAGGGCATTACAGTCTCACTGTATCCATAATCTGTTCTAACGAATTCGAAATTCCTAGTTATACGATCAAATCGTACATCACATCCACATTATCAAAATTCCTGAAGTTATAAGGATTCGTTTAGTTTTATTAACCAGTTATTTTATGTTAATTTACTTTACTGTCTTTCTCGCTTCCCATTTCCCTGCCAGAATGTAAATTGATAGTTCGTGTGCATTCAAATGAGGTAAAAAGGATATAGTATTAGAAGGAAGGTTTTAGAGGGTTGCATTACAGCGTGTTCCGCCTGCTGAAGGCCACGTTTGCTAATTGATTCTCTTGAGAGCAGCATTCTGCGACGTTGCGTTATTCTCGCCATTAATCTTCCCATGCCAATTTTAGGTCAGAGCCAACTTGCGCGTTTTGTGTCGGTGTAGCCTTTCAGTTAACTCAAGGGAATTTAGTCGTAATTTTAAATTTGTTACTTTTGTTATTAAGCCATATATGTTCGCTGTTCTATAAGCACCTGCAGTGCCTTCTATTAAACTTTTATCTGAGTTAAATAAAAGGGTCTTTTATACCCTTTCTCGGTCTTTGCTGTACTTTACAAGGCATCGTGATAATTCACTTTCAGTCTTAAGAGTTTCGTGGATTTAATGTTACCAAATAACACGAGACTCTGCAAAGTTTACGAAGACGTTTAGTAATGTAAGGTTCCTAATGTTTTTATTTATGTAAGAGTTGGAGGCTCCCTTCAGCCCACCTGGACACGAATGTCCCTATAGCTCAAAAGAAGGGGCAGCCAGTAACATATGCAGCAACATTTCTTCAAAATTGCATAAATGTCCCGCGCCTCCAGCCGACTGCAGGAAATAATGGCCATTCAAACATGATTCAAATAATTTCTGTTGCTCTAGTCTGTGCCAGAAGTGTGTGTAATCACAGCAGCACTTAATAAAGAAAAAGAAACAAAAATATACTGAAAATGTAACTTACAAATTGAATGTTATTAGTGTACTGTTGCAAGCTGAAAGTGTGAGAAAAATTAGAAGGAATGTTAATGGTTAGAAGAGTTTAAATTATGAGAGAAATAAATTATCATTTAACTCACTGTGTTCAGTGTTTTTTAACTGATGTTATCATTGAGTTTTTATCTTGCTCTGTTGTCTGGAAAATCAATTATTAAATAAAAAATGCTCTTCGAGAAAAGTCTGTTTCAATCTATGAAAACAAAGCAATGTATATTACTTTCCAAGGACATATGGAATTGAAAAAGGATATGAATGTTAAGAAGTCTTTTTCTAGTAGCGCAATTTTAACTGGAGTATATTTATTTGCTTATTTTACAACTACTGTTTCTTTCTATTTTCTTGAAATTGTGGTGAACTGGGAGGAGGAATGCGTTACGAGCGTCTATGATTTAATGACAAAATTTGCTATTTTATTACCGTAGATTCCTTTCATGTTTTTAGTTTTGAAAAAAAAATTGCATTGTTGAAATAGTTGTTGAAATGGACGAACTAGGTCTAAATAAATTTAAAAGTCATCATTATTTTGGGCTATCGTGTTGAAGATTGTAAACTTTGCTAAAACTAGTTTTGTCTGTTACTTGAAATGAATTTTTATGATAAAATAGATTTGTTAAAATTCTAATTTATAGAAATACTTTTTATGCTTCAAAAGAAGCATTTGTTTTCGACCACTGATCTCGTGACCCTTATTCATATTCTATCATTCTCCTGTCTTGCATAATGTAAGATTGGTGCACATAGAATTTTAATTTTTATCTTTAGTGTGAAAGAAGGGGTATATTAATTAGCTTTGTATTTTATACTGGTACGAAAATATTATTCGTAACCTTTCGGGTTAGTTAATTAAGTTTCTAAGTGTAGGAATAGAGCTAACTTATTATCCATTCATTCCCTCCCCTCCAATGGCGGGCACTTGCCCATAACGGCACTAGCCACTCCTAAAGCCAGAAGTGGTGGCCATTTTATTATGGAGGCATCTGAATAGGCAGCCACCGTTACCTCCTATGAAAGGACAGACAATTTTACATCATGCCTTTTCCAGGATTCGAACCCGGGCCCTTTGGTATCGCAGTCAGGCTTACCATCTGGGCGGCTTCATCCATGCATAAATCCATCAGTTCGCTCATGGGAGAAATGCTTACAGTTAAAATAAATTACAGTGCAAAATGTCATGTTTTGGTTTAAAGATATGATGTTATCAATATGTTAATTTAGAACAAATGATGTAATAATCAGTCTTTGATTGAATTAATTTTTCTAACTTTATTATTTGCATTCTGTTGCTTTTACGATATTAAACTAACACAACAGTAAAGTTTATTGCGAGAATATTGAAGAAGGGAATAGGAGTCATAGGTTCTGAAGGGGAATAGGGGTTCTCTATAATTAAGGGATACTCGAAAGTAAAAAGGTCGAGAGCCGCTGCCCTAAAGTTCAGAAATGGGGAAGAATTTAAAGAGTGAAGGACCAGCGTTCATAAAATCACTGTTACTCTAAAATTTGTGTTATGAAAGAAAAATCCTCCATATCTTCGAGCAACATGATAAATAAAGTATTTCGTCTTCTCCAGCGGCCGAGTGGTAAAATCGTTGAGCATTGATAGTTCCAACCCGGTTTTGATTCCAGGCGAACAGGCTGGCTGTATGAGCATTTCGAGGTTTCCCCCGTGTGTAACGTGTATACGAGCCCGTTTTCCTTAGAAAGTCCTCCAGGAAGGTATCCCCCTTAGGCAGATAACCCTAGTGTGCTTTGTCATAATCTACCAAACCAAATAAAATATTTCTAAACTGCAGCTTGGAAATATTTTATTGTACTTCAAAATGTAATTTATGCTAAGAGCTCTGCATTTGTAATATAATATGCATGTATTCATTATCTAAAATAAATGAAGATTAAATGTGAATGATTTTTTTTGTTAAAATGAAATAAATTAAATATGGCTGATAGTAGAACTGAAGAGTCAATCTTCATCTGTGGAAGCTCAAGTTTCTAAATGTAGTACATATGAGCATGTAAGTAATATACATCCGCTTGGATACGGTTACCTCATACTGCTGGCCACTTTGGTGTCTGTCAGCCCGTGGGAAAATTAAGGGACGGAAGAGAGGTGAGAGATACGCTGACTCCATAACCCCATATCGGAAACGTAGAGTGGGTGGTTAGTGATGGCGGAAGTTTGCTCTTTTCCGGAAAAGGACCTTGTCATGGGAATAAGTTCTTCCATTTCTTTCATTACAGTAGTTTGAGAATTTTCGTAACAACTTTGCCAGTTGTTAGAAAAACGCTAGCGGATAAATTAATTGGATTCTTTGTTCAACGGTTGGCTGAGTATTACTTCAGAGATTAATATTTCTGTCTTACTACGTGTGTATGTAATTCTGGTGAAGATTAATTTTTGCTAATATGTATTTGCGTATTTTCGAAAACACTAATAAGATATTTTTAAATTGCAGAAATTAAACAGTTTACCTAATATCTTATGTCGCAGGAATCGTAAACGTATCAGTCTGACTCACCGAAGATCTCCTCTTACACGTCGACCGGGAGAACGATTCATTTTTTCCAAATATTACTTTGTTCTAATCAGTTCTCTCTCTATATACACATATGTATGTATATTCAACCATGTATTAAAAATTCCTGATAACCCAACCATTTTATTGAATATTTATTTCGTTTCTTTTTTAAATATTTTTTCAATATATATACATCATCTTTTTTATTATATTTTACCATTTTATGATCGTAAAATATTCCTTCAGTTTTTTCACCATTTAAATCATGTATTTTATAAAGGGTTGGGCATTTCGTAAAAAAATGTTTTGAATTTAGATAGTCTAACGCGATCTCCTATTTTATATTCAGCTTTTTAGAGGTCTTTCGGCTGACTAGGGAATATACATATAAATTATAATAAACTTTTATTTAATTTTCGGGTTTTCTAACTTCAGCAGGTGTCATTTTTATGGAACTGTGATATCAATTGTTATAATGTTTAACTAATTTAGGTAATGCATCAATATAGCTTTTTGTGATTCTCCCAAGTAAAGGAAAAACCCAAGCATATCTATTAAAAGCATCTGTAACGGTTAATAAATAGTCATTATCTTTGCTGTAATATGTGTATGCGAGAATGAAATAATTTTTTTCGTTGCAGTAATTTGATATTAGATGAGTGCTTAGCTAGTGGATTGAGGTTAGAAGATTGCTGGAAATATCGATTACGTAGTAAAAGATGCCGGGAACTTTTGAAGAACCACAGAATCACTCGATAATCCAAATATATCTTTATTACTTGTTGATTACTCTATTAAATGACACAGCACAATGGAGAATGTTATATCGAAATAGTTAACTAATAGTTCTGTGCAGTAACTGCAGAGAAAAACATTTCAGAAGAAATTTTTTATGAGCATTTATAGTTGATAGCTTTATTTTAGTTATCATATCGCTCACTGTATAAGCTAGATGTTTATTGCATACGTCACAAATTTATCATGTCACAAGTTCAATATCGATTTTAAGATGATAGTGTTTTATTTTCACCTTCAGACAAAGATTTAATTACATTTGGTATTAAATTCAAGCAGCGTCAAGAGATGGAACGAAACGCTTGTATAATAGAACGTAAAATTCTTGGTTTGATTTAGCTGAATACGTCAATGCATGCGAGAATTTTGCATTGAAGGAAAGAGATGCATTCGTGGATAAGTTTCAAAGCGCATTTTATTTTGTATGTGCTGCATAAGAGCCTGCCAGATTTTCGCGATTATATTGTAAAGCTTTTCAATAATTTATAATATTTTATAATATTAATATTATTTTAACATATGAATAGTGTAAATTGAAATTAAAATTAATGTTTTATGCCATCTATGTAAATCTCCAAGCTACGGAGATTTCGTTGGATATCAGATCAAGATCTCCTTGTGCGCACAGCCGACGAGCCCGCCGAAATACTAGAACAAAGTTACCACTTATCTGCGAAAGAAGCTTACGAGCCACGGAACAAAATGTGTGCACAAGACACACAAGGGAACGCAAACTATAATAGATCTGTAGTTTGTGTTCCCTTAACTCTAATACATTGTAGGATGCGGAAGATCTGGACAAATGAGCATCCCAATGTTCCGTTAATTTCTTTTCACGAAGGAGCCAAATTCTATTTGAAGCTAGTTCGATAGTTATATATCCATGTAAATAGAACGTAACACAAGAAATAATTCCAATTTTTCGCGCAAAAGGGACGTAACAGTGATAAGGAGGAATGATGGTTTGGGTAGGTGTAAACATAGACGACCGTATGGACGTGTGCATCATCTGGAATGGCAGCCTGGTGGATAGAAGATAAAAGATGAGATCTTCGGACCTCTGATTTTTGCCGTACGTTGGAGCCACCGACGTTAGTTTCATTTACTATACCCTCGGTATCAAAAAAATTTATCTTGTGAAAGACTAGCTTTAATGGATGCATATAATGACCGTTATACCTATCCGATTAGGAATCCAATATTTAAGTATTTTATTTCCGTATTCGGAAATATCTGTAAATTCCACAAGTGCGTTAGAAAATATATTTTTCCTCTTCATTAGAAGGAAATAATTTTGTGTGACAAATTTTGTAGTGCCATACTTTTGTAAGACTACACAGACAAATTCATTGAACTTTTTTTTTTTTTTTTTTTTTTTTTCAAAAAGTTGGTTACGGTATGTGCATTTCATTAAAAAGTGAATAATCCTTTAATTTTTTTAACAGCTTAATGAAGACATAAAGGTGTCTGTCTATACGTAATAATATTATGCTAGCTATTGTATGGTTCACTCACGATTACTATTGATTGATTCTTTTATGAAACAAAATACTAAATGTTACATACATAATTGGAATAATTTACTTATTTTTTATAGGCAATGGCAGCGTGTCGACAAATGAGTGCTACAGGTTACGTAGAAACGTCTGCCAAAGAAGAAATCGGAGTGACAGATGCTTTCGAACTGACCGCCCTTGCAGCACTCGGAGGGAAACCTCGATTCGCCAGTCTTGTGCGCCGTCATGCGCCGCACCTCAAGCGACATTTACGCCCCCATCAGCAACACAGAAGCTGCGTTGTTATGTGAAATGCCGTTGTATATATGAACTTGCTCAACTGCAGACCCATTTGATGAGCGAGCCGCAGCCATGTGGTCTACTTTGATTAGACTCATGAGTACTGCCAATACCGCCTCTTAACTTCAGGAGGCAGGTAATGGTACTGCGATGTTTCCTTTGCTCAAATTTTCCATTTTTCATGTTCTAATCGCCTTCATGTGCCCATGTGTGTCATTACAAATTGGGTTATTTAGTGAAGATGTTGTGCTTGGCGAGTGCATAGAACTCTGTTTATGCAAAAGAAGAGAGAAAAATCAAAATTTGCTAATGATATATTTTGAATGTTTTGTATTCTGTAAATCATTATGATGTGCCTAATTGTCGTATAAATTTTATTTAATCTCACTAATTAGATCTGATAGTTATTAATTTCAGTAATAAATAATAATTGCAATTTTTTAATAAAATTTTTCCCATTTGAAGAAAAAAGTAATCAAGTTACTTTAAAAAAAAAAAAAAAAAGAAAAATAGGTACTTTTTAAAAAATTGAAACGACGGGATAATAAAATTAATTGATATATACATAAAAAGTTGATCTTTTATTAAAATTATTTATTTAAAAAAATCTTAAATCTTCTACAATGATTGTTTTATATGTTTATATTATGTGATGAGATTTTTAAATGTGTGAAAGATGCATGTTATTTGAATGCATCATTTAGCTTTTGAACTCAGGTTAAAGTGGCTTTTACTTATAGCTGCATAATCTGCAAACGTTATATTAAGTGTTAATATTTATCGGCAAAAAGTTCGTTTTCGAGTTTTAACAAGGAAAAAAAAAAAGTCCAGGCACTATTTATTTAAAGAGATTTATAGAAATTCATGTAAATTAATTCATTTGTACTTCAGGTTTTTAATTGAAAATTTATTTGAAATTTTTACTTGATATTAAAAACCTGTTTAAGAACATGTTGCAGTGCAGCATTATTTTTGTATGACCCTGGAAGACCTTCAAGAGTTCCTACCTGGCTTATGCTCATATTTGTATATAGAATATGTATATTTTTTCATAATATTTTTATGCATGTATGATTTTGTACAGAATGGCTTTCAGCCAAACTATCTGTTAAAAATAAAATTTTTATTAACATTGTATTGAGTAAAATTTATAAAACAACCATAGCATTTTCTGTAACTAGTTATAAAACAATATCAGACTCCCTTTTTTTTTTTTTTTTTTTTTTTTTTATTTTATTTATTTTTTCTGTGATAATAGCCTCCCCTCCGAGGGTCCTTTCTCAACGTGGGGCGCAGAGGCGACAACGTGTGAGTGGCTGTCCTGTTTACGCGACTAATCGAGCCTGATCTTCCCCCGAGCTGGTCACTTATGTTGGGAGTGGATAATATGGATGAGATTAGCTGCCTTCAGGACTAGAACTACCGTTTCTAGGGTGGTCCGTTGAGGCTGGATAGGAACTTTAGGGGTACTGTCAAATTTGTCTCGGGCTATGGAATTCCTGCATGTTAAATAATTTTATTAGAGGTTGTGTTTGTGGTTTGGTCCCAGGGGTTTCTACGGTGGTCCGTTGAGGCTGGACAGGAACTTTAGGGTACTGTCAAATTTGTCTCGGGCTATGGAATTCTTGCATGTTAAATAATCTTATTAGAGGTTGTGTCTGGTCCATGGAGGTCTCCATTGTTTGGCCCCGGGTGTTTCTACGGTGGTCCGTTGAGGCTGGACAGGAACTTTAGGGGTACTGTCAAATTTGTCTCGAGCTATGGAATTCCTGTATGTTAAATAATCTTATTAGAGTTTGTGTCTGGTCCATGGAGGTCTCCATGGTTTGGCCCCGGGGATTTCGGCCTCCCGGCATCGCCTCTGGAGTGTGAGTACATAATAATTATGTACAGGTTACTTTTGCCTGGGCCTGGGTGTCTCACATTGTGGCGCACTGTAATAATGATCGTAAGTCGATAAAAGCAGCAAAGATCACACTTCATTTCTACATTAGCATCATTTGTAGTTAGCTTTTTTCTTTTAAAAGCAGTTTGTGTATGACAGCAAATTAGCTATTAGAAATGTTTTACATGTATATAAACAATTTTTTCAGAGGATAGTATACAGCGCGTTTTAATTCATCAAATTTAATAACGTTAGTTGCATAGTTTTTTTAATCGATTTAAAAATAAAACAGATTACACTTTAGTCAGTTATTGCTTTCTGTTCTCTAAGCAAATAATGTCTGTTTGTATGTCAGTGAACCCTGTTATATTCATGGCATTGTTTTGGGAAATACTGCGGGTTTTGCATTTTATATTTGGATTCCTCGATTTAATGATGCATACATAGCATATTTCGCTCAGTGTTGGGTATATTACAAACTACGGATTTGGAGTATACAACAGAGACAAAATACTTGTAGTTACATGTGCAGTGAACTGATAAATTGAAAACATGCTTTTAAAATAGATTAATCATCTGAATGCGGATATCCATTTAAAATTTCAGTCGAGTTTTGTAGAAATTTTATCTTTGAAACTTAACAAAAAATATATAAATTATTCTTTTAAATGATATATTGATGGATATTAAAAGCTATGTATATAAAAGGATTCTTTTCAAAGATGTATCTATAAAATGGATATCTCGTATCAAAATGTCAAAAGTATATTCTTATGAGCCGACTTAAGTATAACGTTGTCATCAGCATTAGAAGAAGTTCTGTAATGAGATTTTGAGTTGTAAGAAACAGGAAATATGTTAACGAACAAAATTAAAAGATAATTCCTAAAGCCTTGCTAGCTGAGCAAAAACTTCTTAAAATACCCTGAACTTAATTGCTTCGTAAAGGCAATTATTCACAGCTTTGCTTGAATTTATTAATGAGCAAGTATCCAGTCAACGACTATCAGGAAAATGATGATCTTGACGAGTAACATTTAGACTATAACTTCACACAACACATAAGAATACTTGCTGTCTTGGGTGAAGCAATTGATTGAGTTTTATAGCAGACAATCTGTAAATGCTCACAAGGCTGGATGTTCGATTTCAACGGCTGGAGTTTTGATGGCAAGCTTCTGGATATTTCACATTATGCCTTAATAAGAGTGTATTAACAGAATCTAATCAGATAAAGAACGAAGGGAAAAAAGAGCAACGACACAATAATTTTTCGGGTATATTTTTAATTCTATATCACTAAAATAAAAGGTGAAAATGAAGTTAAAAAGCAATTAACATCGACATAGCTGAGAGAAGAGATTGTACTAGAATGTAATGAAATATTTGAAGTATTATAGCCAGAAATTTCGAAATTTGAAAGATTTAAACTTGTACGCTACGCTGAAAGTAAAAGAAATTTAATAACTTTCCCATATCATAAAACTTAATATTAATAGTACATACATGAAAGCTATAAAAAATGTTCAGCAACAAAACGTATATTCCCGATTTAGAGTGCTAGGTTTGTTGAGATATTTTCATTGATGAATAAAGGCAGTTTCTTCTGATAGCGGAACAAGGGAGTGGATTGAATTTGAATATAATTCATCTGCTGACTATATCATTGTCATCACTCTGATAATCAGCAAAATTGGCATAAATAATTATAGCATCATTTTGGGGGCTTAAACGCCTTCAAAATCTTGCTATAACTACTTAATTAACAAGCTTTGTGAGTTTGCAAGCAAATATAAAGAATTATTTGGTTAAACCTATTTGAAAAAGAACACAGAATTTAATTACAATTTGCTATAAATTAATTCTGAAGAAATTTGCTAAGATTTAACATTTCCTTGAATAAAATGCATGCTGAAATTTCTTTACAAAATAAGCGTAATCTTGTTGCAAACGGCCAGAGTAAAACAATGGAGAAACACAAATATTCTTTTCCTCCCTCTATAAAACGCATAGACGATAGATAAGCTAATAGCTATGGAAAGAACGTTTTCCTCATAAAACAAACAGATAGTAGAGCGAAAATATAATAAGTGAAAAGAGCTCATGAGTTTTGAAAGAAACTATGTATCTGCCATATAAAACAGACTGACAGTAGATGCGCTAATTCAAAACAGAGAAGTGCACTAAATTTAACATCATTTGTTGGCGATATAAACAAACGGAGCAATTCATTGGCGCAAGGGCTGTCTTAGAGAAGCTCTGATTTAGATGAAGGCCAAAAGTGACAAGTTATGGCAACTGAAGGTCTCCAGAGCGCTGACTATTCCCAAAAGTGGAATCTCAAGAAAATAAAATCCCTTTCTAAGCATGGGAACATTTAGTGGACTTGCTAGTCATGCCACCGACTGACCGAGGGTAACTGGAAACGACTCGAGTAATTGTTAGCACTAAAAAAACCTGTTACGCTAGACAACTTGCGATTTCTCAACAGTTACTCGAACTTAATAAGCAAATATATTTCTGATCGATGCCTTCACGAGCATATTCCATATGCAAGAAGACACTATGCTATATCTCATTATCAGCATCTTCTAGAATATAGCGTTGAAAAGTAATGTCGTCTTCGTCGTAGAATCAAATTGCCTCCGCACGATTACAGTTTATGAATGAATTCCATGTTCATTTTTTATACTTTTTATAGGTGTACTTTTTATCTAGAGAGAGATTGGAACATGCTGTCTTCCAACGCATATACATGAAATCACGAAAGTATTTAGACAATGTTAGAAAGGAACCACGAGAAACGGAGCGAGTAACCTTAATGACTACTGCAAATATTCTGTAATCGAATGCAAGTACGTAGGTGAAGTTCTGCTTTCCGAAATTAGTTTCAGAGCCTGTTCAATAAGCCTGTGTGTGGGCCAGACGTTTTGTTCAACTTTGTCGAATTGCTATGATGGCTGAATACCTTTAAATATGGATATTCTTCGAACGATGCACATGAACTCGTTTGATTTAAATCCTGTTGAGCATATTTAGGATTCCACGAACTGCGACGCCCCTTCTTTAGATCATCTACAAGCTTTATTTATAAAAAAAAATTCAAAAATATTTCATTTAGAAAGTTTTAGGCTTACGATAAGCTCATCTAAAAATTCCGTCACATTGAACAAGCAGTTTATATTTAATGAAAAATAAGAAAAGAATGGAAAATCCAATATTTCGTTGGATACCCTTTAGCTAAAACTACACTTTTCATGCGTTTTGGCCTAATTTTTTTGAGTAAGAATGTTTCGTTTTGATCCATTCCTCTGTAAGAATCGCTTTCAAAGAAATCCCATGTTTACTTATTCTTTTCTCCAACTCACTCCATATATGCTCGATAGAATTTAACTCCGAAGAATATGGAGGAGTCTTGATAACTTCAGGTCTTTTGTAATAACTACAAAGATGTATTTAGAGCTATATATTTAGATCGTTATCCTGATAGAACATGAATGTGTTTTTCATTCCGAGTTTTCTTGCAGATGCTCTCGGATTTTCACTAAGAATATTTAAATATTTATATTTATCCATATTATTTTTTATAAAAGTTAATTTCCCATCCCAGAAGCGACGAAATTCACCCAAGCCATTATAGTATTTTCA